TGAAATCAATTTGAAAACACGATTAAGAGGCATTAATGAAAGGGGCAACTCATATCGAGTTAAACTTTTTTCAAGTTCGAGTTATACTTATTATAAAACCCAGGTTGATTGTGTGTGTGTGTGTGTGTGTGTGTGTGTGTGTGTGTGTGTGTGTGTGTGTGTTCGTTTATATATGGGATCGGATTTCCTACATTTTTTTTCAACCGATTTCAACAAAACTTTTTTTTTGGCAGGTAGTGTTTCTTATTGTCTTGCACACTTTTTCTTTATTTTTACATCATTCAGAATGCTTTAAAAATACCATTTACAAGACAATTGTTTATAATAAAATTCTATTCAATCGGTAGACTCATAACGATTGAAAACAATGTCTTTGTTTGTGTTTGGGTTTGACCAATTCGGAAAAAAAAAAAAAAACTAATTAAGACATGGGTGTCCGTCAACCTTAAACAATAATCTTTGTCAATTTTATTTTTCAGTCTTTATGATGTCCACCATACTTGATACTTGATCTATCTCTTACTGTTACATCCCCGGGCAACGCCGGGCTCTGCTGCTAGTATTTTATAAGGCTTTTAGGCTTTGTGCATTTGTCTATTCAAATACGGGTATCCACTAAAAGCAACGTTTTAATTAATAAAAATATATATGTTTATGTATAATTTTTGTTGTGTGTGTGTGTTTGATAAAGTTTCCAAATTATGTTCCAGGCAAAGTTTGAGAAGTAAGCAATCATGTTCGGAAAAGTTCACCTTTAATTTTTTTTTTTTGATCTTCATGAGTTCCTTTGTTGTTGTTTTTTAATGTTACCTTATTTTTTTTTTTTTTTGAATTGCAGTACGACGTAATCCATTTCACATGCTCTTGATATCAGTCGTATTTCCATACAGAATATTAGGAATTTGGATTTAACTTAGAATTGACAATTTAAAGAAAAAAACTCAATATCCAAGCTCTTCTGCTAAATTACTATTGACAGACTTAATATTTACCGAAAGGGTTCTATTCCAGTACGTTTTATGGATGCCCTAACGTACATAAAATTAAGTATCGGGACAAAATATCCCCATTTATGCCTATTAAAACACAATGGATTCTTTGAACTATTGCCAATTGTATATTCGAAACATAATTAATGAATTCCCCCAAGCAAGGCGATAATACCACTAAAATGCAAAGAGCTATTGGGAGAGAAAGAGAATGATGGAGACTCTGAAAGGAACTGGAAACCCAATTCTAAACAGGAAACAAGGTATAAACTTCTACTCCTGTTCAAAAGAACGGGGAGGAGTATGAACCGGACGATAGGCGAACCTATCTACTCCTATTACGATGGTAAAATTATTAAATAAATTTAAAAGGATGAGACACTCAGTTTCTTTTGATATAGTTAATTTTCCACCTATAATCGACTAGATGAGGCGATGAGTTTAGCATTAGAAAATATTTTTCAATATCATTAAATGAAAATATCAGAAACACGATTAAAAAAAAATATTCAGCCTTGCTATATCTTTAACTCGTTTTTATATAAAGGGAAAGTAATGACCAAATTGTTGATGTGGCAGTTGGACCTTTTCTGGGTCTGGCTTCTGCTAATTTATTCATGGAGCATAAAGATAAATTTGCATCATATAAATATGGCCTATTGCTTATATTTTATCGTAAATATGTAGATGATGAATTTTGTATTTTTAAAGAAAAATAGCATGCCCTGCCTTTTTAAAATTTTCTCAACATAAGATTATAAAGGAGATGGTCGAGTCTGAAAAACACAATTCTTTACCATTTTTAGGCATCCTAATCAGTAAAAAAAAGTCAATTCATTTAAAAAGAGTACTTTTCAGAGACGGACTAATAGAGTTCTGTTCACTAATTTCACAAATTTAATTCTTGAATTTTATAAAACAGGTTTGGTTAAATCTTTTAAAGATCGTTTACTGAAAATAAACAACACTAAACACGATAAAAATAAAGATTTAAATTATGTAAAATACATAATAGAAAAGAACTGTTTTCCATTAACGTTTATCCAAAATATTATCAACCGACAAATACAAAAATAAAATTCTAAATGATAACATTAATCAAAACAAAAAAATGCGACAAGCAGGTGAAAATTTTTTTCCCCCTTTTATACTTGAGGGCCTATTCAAAAACTGTTCAATTTAAAATGAATGATTTGGTCAAAACATTTCGTAGGGATGGTGTCTTGTTTTAAACAGCTCAGAAAATTGGTTCTTTGTTTAAAGATAAACGTTAAATACCGTCTGTGGATTAATAGATAGCGGCTCGGATTGTGGAATCGGAGAGGCGAGTTCGAATTCCAGTCGAATCCATTACATTCACTTACGTGCTAATAATCTGGGGAAAGGTATGATTCCTTTTCTTCTCCCCCAGCTATGGGTAAATAGCAGGACAGACCGGGTTCTGTAGCCTTGGATGGCAACTGATCTACCGTAAAAAGAAATGAAAATTACTGTGGGATAAAATCTGCCTCGTCAGTCATGTATCGAAAGATACATGATCCCCTTTGTGTGTATCACGCATGGCACATAACTGACTGATTCTGTAGGGAGGCCACCGAAAAACTGAAAGATTTGAAAAAGTCAGAACGGCTTTAAAAAATCTTTCTTATTTTATTCTCTTTGCAGATTATAGAGCATCTCTTGGAGATTAGAATGTCTACGTATGATGTCTATCAACGAGTAATGAGATTTTCTCTTCCAATGAAAGATCAATTATTCAAACTCAGAGAAAATACCGGCAACATTTTAATGTCAGATTATCTCCTAGCGATAATATGATTCAGAACCTAATCGCTCTGTTTGAAAGAAATGGATCAGTCGGCGATCTTCCGGGTAGAGGTCCTAAGCGCACTTTGCGCACTGATGCCGCGGTGGAAGCTGTACGGCCGATTGACCTTCAGGATCCATCAGCCTCTGCCCGTCGTCACTCTGCTCAACTAGGCATCGCCAGAACATCGCTTCAGAAGATTCTGAATCTGGATGTAAAAATGTTTCCATACAAGATTCAAATAGTCCAAACTTTACTACCCTAAGATAATCGAGATTAATCGCTCGAAAATACATCAATTGTGGCTTATCTCAAGATATTCATGTGTTTGTAAAAGTTATATTTGTTTTATATGATTGAATCTTTCAATGACCTCCCCCACGCGTTTTACATAAATCTGAATTCGCTAACTGTAAAGTTAGTTCTTTCATAAATATGCAAAGTGGGACATTTGGATATTAATAAAATTCCTCTATTTGCAAACATCAAATATCAGTGTAAACAAAAATGTAATTTTTATTGTTTTTCATTATTAATAGGTTAGACACACCATATAAACTGGCTATTAAAGAGGGATTTTTTTTTAATTGTTTTTAGCAATTTTAGTGTGCTTTATAAGTTCAATCATATATGATGTCCTTGAGGATGTCAAAGTAATAACAAGCGTTTATTGCGCAAAGCTCTCTCCTTTTATTCTTTTCTTTCTTTGAATTATTGTCCGTTATCTATAAAAGACAGGATGTGTGTGTGTGTGTGTGTGTGTATGTGTGTGTGTGTGTAACGAATGCACGGCCGCATTTTTCGACGGATTTTCACGAAACTTTACATGCACATGCTCCAAGTTAGCGGGAAGGCCAAGACCGACTTTGCATTTCCCAACTCCCATCGATAGTGGAAATAATCGACTTTTTCATGCTTCTACGGCAGTTTTCATGTAGTTTGCGGTCATTTTCTATTGGCCAGAGTGAGAGCTTATAGCTGGCTGCTACGAATAGGCAGGAAGATTCCATTGGCCAGCGTGAGAGCCAACAGCTGACTGACACGAATATTAACTAGCATGCTAGCATGCAAAGAAAATCGATAGCTGCATTCGTCACAAGTGGGAAACATTTAAATCTGCATGGCTCTTTACTAATTGGCTCATTCGCTTGCTTAAACTCAACGTTGATTCTGATTCGGCAGTACTGGGTTGGGTGTGAAAAAGTATTTGTTGTTAACATTCTTTTTTCATTCGGTTTTTCCAGTTATGAGTCCTTTTTTAAAGCTGATCGTTTTGTGTTCATTTTGTTTAGTTCTTTTTTCGTAACAGATTTAATGTTTAGTATAGAGCTTAGAAAAAATTCGCAGTGTGAGATAGGCAAAAAGTAAGGCATGTAGCAACATCAGCACGGCAAAGGGCACTCCTTTAAAGGCAAGGAAGGGCAAAAATATTTTAAGTCAAGTGATAGCGATTGCTGTATGCGTCGTACGATTTTTGAATCAAGCACGGGAAACGCCGGGCCATGCTGCTAGTAAGATTATATTTCTCTTTTACATTGGGACTTAAAAAGAAATCAGTTTAACTCTTTGACTGATAAAGGGAACAGAAATCCGAAAACATGCAGAAACGTCCAATAAAATATATAATGTAGAGTTTTTGTTTGCCATATTATTCTGCCTATCCCATGGTTCAATACTTTTTGGTTCCAAACGTAAGTACAAAGACTTCAATATTTTAAACTTTCCAAAGCTTGAAAAAATATCATCGTAATCAAGGAAGACTGACATGGATAGTGAATTTGTGAAAAATTGTCAACAATTTCGTTGTCCATGGATATTTCAACGTCCGTATGAAAACAATAACGACACCATTATTAAAATTTGCAGTTTAAGAACGAATAACTCAACGGAAAAAAATAAAGCAACACAGTAGCTCAAGAATATCGAAAAGTTATTAATAGATAAAATATTAGTGTAGAAATGCACGTGTAAGTATGATAATGGATAGCAGCACGGAATATAGAAATTGGAGAGCCAAGTTCGAATCTCAGTTAAGTTTGATACATTTCACTTAAGCGTAAATATCATTGGGAAAGATATGAACCCATCTCTTGAGCAAATAGCAAATGATAGTAGAGGGCAGCTCCCTCTGGTGATGGGCGTTCCTATCATATTAGTATAGAGCATTTATTTCCGATGCTTTGTGTGTACTTGATTTTTTGACATCATATTTTCTCTATTTCTCTGTTGATAAAGAATGAAGAGTAGGAGATGGACAAAGAAGGAAGGAATAAAGAGAATAAAAATAGACAAAGAGTGGAAAAAGGGACAGAAGGAGTTAGATGGAACAGAAAAAGATAGACGTAGAGGGGGGGAAGAATGAACGGAACGTGATTGAGAGGAGAAAGCGGGAACAGAAAGAGACAAAGAGGGAAAGAAGGAAGAGGAAGAGATACACAAATAGGGAAAGACGAAGATAATAAACAGAACGTGATAGACAAAGAAGAAAAGAATGAAGAGAACGAGATAGAGAAAGATGGAAAGAGTGAAGAGCAAATGATAGACAAAGAAAGAATGAACAAAAAGAAATAGGCAAAGAAGAAAAGAATGAACAGAACTATATAGAGAAAGACGGACAGAATGAATAGAAAGAAATAGACACAGAGTGAAAGAATGAATAAAAAGAGATAGACAGAGAGTGAAAGAATTACTAGAAAGAGATAGACAATGAGTGAAAGAATTACTAGAAATAGACAGAGAGTGAAAGAATTACTAGAAAGAGATAGACAAAGTGTGAAAGAATTACTAGAAAGAGATAGACAGAGAGTGAAAGAATTACTAGAAATAGATAGACTATGAGTGAAAGAATTACTAGAAAGAGACAGACAGAGAGTGAAAGAATTACTAGAAAGAGATAGACAGAGAGTGAAAGAATTACTAGAAATAGACAGAGAGTGAAAGAATTACTAGAAAGAGATAGACAGAGAGTGAAAGAATTACTAGAAAGAGATAGACAATGAGTGAAAGAATTACTAGAAATAGACAGAGAGTGAAAGAATTACTAGAAAGAGATAGACAAAGTGTGAAAGAATTACTAGAAAGAGATAGACAGAGAGTGAAAGAATTACTAGAAATAGATAGACTATGAGTGAAAGAATTACTAGAAAGAGACAGACAGAGAGTGAAAGAATTACTAGAAAGAGATAGACAGAGAGTGAAAGAATTACTAGAAAGAGATAGACAATGAGTGAAAGAATTACTAGAAATAGACAGAGAGTGAAAGAATTACTAGAAAGAGATAGACAGAGAGTGAAAGAATTACTAGAAAGAGATAGACAATGAGTGAAAGAATTACTAGAAGTAGATAGACAGAGATTGAAAGAATTACTAGAAAGAGAGAGACAGAGAGTGAAAGAATTACTAGAAATAGATAGACTATGAGTGAAAGAATTACTAGAAAGAGACAGACAGAGAGTGAAAGAATTACTAGAAAGAGATAGACAGAGAGTGAAAGAATTACTAGAAATAGATAGACAGAGAGTGAAAGAATTACTAGAAAGAGACAGACAGAGAGTGAAAGAATTACTAGAAAGAGATAGACAATGAGTGAAAGAATTACTAGAAAGAGAGAGACAGAGAGTGAAAGAATTACTAGAAAGAGATAGACAGAGAGTGAAAGAATTACTAGAAAGAGATAGACAGAGAGTGAAAGAATTACTAGAAAGAGATAGACAATGGGTGAAAGAATTACTAGAAAGAGTTAGACAGAGAGTGAAAGAATTACTAGAAAGAGATAGACAGAGAGTGAAAGAATTACTAGAAAGAGATAGACAATGGGTGAAAGAATTACTAGAAAGAGATAGACAATGAGTGAAAGAATTACTAGAAAGAGATAGACAGAGAGTGAAAGAATTACTAGAAAGAGATAGACAGAGAGAGTATAAGAGAATGGGAGATATACTGAACAGATTCTGACTGAAATTAGTTATATAGACTTATATATGTGTGGGAAGTTGGCAGATGTGATGTAATGGTTAACAAGCTTGTCTCGCTAGAACAATTACGTGTGAATAGTGTGTTCGATCCTCATTGGGTGCCCTATGCTTTCAGTCTTGTGCCATATCTAAACTAAGCTTAGAATATCACAATATCTATGCGTGTAATGTGTGTGTGTGTGTGTGTGTGTGTGTGTGTGTGTGTGTGTGTGTGTGTGTGTGTGTGTGTTCAGTTGAATATGTGTAAGAGCTCACCCGACCTTTTCCTTCCTCATGTTCATGGATAACGATTCATTCTAATCCCCAGACTCATACTGTACCACCCACTCAAAACCAATCTAACCATTGACTCAAATCTCTCTTCAACGAGCAATTCAACTCCATGTATTATATTAATGCTGAGATTTTCTCATAAGCAAGTCGATCCAATCAAAATAGCAGCCCAACCAAGTGTGATAAGTATTTAAATAAACAATCCCGGATATTTCTTGGATGTTGACAGGTGGTAGTACCTCACCTCTCAGGTCACAAAAAAAAAAGAGAAAACAAAAAGAACAGAACTACTTCTTCCTCTTTGATTCGTACGAAGAGATTGGCCAATTTTGATCACAAAATGACATCTGATTACTATTGTCACCAAGGTCACTCGCTTATTTTATTTAGATGTTTAAAGAGATGAAGAAGGTCAAAGGTCAGGATTGAAAGGTTAGGGATTATGTTTTGTTCGGGTTTAAGAGATAAAGGATTGAACTCTCTTAGGAGATTGTTGAAAATTTTGGCAACTATTTTCGAGTTTGTGATCGTTGTTCGTTTCGTTAAGCAAAAGGGTACCCCTCCGTACCCGACCGAAAAGGATAAAAAAAATTAAAGATTGATTCATTTAATAAGAAGAAATAAAGAAAAGAAGACATGGCTGTAGCACATGAAGAAGAAGAAAAATAAGGTAAAAAAGTGGACTGAAGGAAAAGAAGTTAAAAGAAGTAAAAGAATCGTCCAAGTTAAGTGAAAAGAAGACAAAAATAAGAAGAAAAATAGAAGAAAAACAGGGAAGAAAAAACGAAGAAAAATATGTGGAACGAGAATGCAGAACAAAGAAAATAAGTCAGGAATGGAATGGCAAATTTTAATGATGGTGAAATGGATGAAAGAACAAAAAAATGCCAAATTCTTTAAAGAAATTGTTTTATAATAAAAAGCGAATTTTAAAGAAAATGTGAAAGTCTATAATTCCACCCCTGCTATCATTTTTTTTCCATTAAAAGTAAAATATTTCTTGGAGTCCAATAACACGTATTCTGTTAGGGGTCAAACGATTCCTTTATTTAATCGGTTCATTAGTTGAAGAATTGTTTTATCTTAAATCATTAGAACCGTTCCCCTGTTTTCAACGGTGAAAAAAACGTAATAATGTGATGAAGATAAATCTTGAGAAAACGTTGGTTATGGAAGAACTTCTAATATCACCACCATGACATTTGAGCCATGGGACGATCATTGTCATACAACAAAATCGCCAGGCGATATTTTTAACGGGAAATAAGCGTCTTTCTTCTTTTAATGCATCATTCAAATGAGCCAATTGCTGAGTTTATCGGTGCCCAGTGTGTCTCGTTTCAGTAATTAGTAAGAAAGAATGCCATCTGAATTACAACAAAAGCAAGAATAAATCTCCAACTTAGTAGATTATATTTAAATTGAAAACTTGATCCTCTCTTGAAACGATTCTTTTTCCTTTTAGATTACATTTTCACCCCAAGCAAAGTGATAAAGCCACAAAGACGTAAAGGATTACTGAGAGTTTTTTTTTTAATCAATTCAACCCAAGTAAGTCGATCAGGCTGGGACAGAAGGGGTTAATGGGAATGGAAGAGAATGAGAAAACTTTAGCGATAAGAAAGTACAATGAAAGAACAGGGTTCAGAAAGACAGAAGATGGCGATTCGCGTTGCATTTACATTTTTGAGGATTGTAGTTGACAGGGAAGCAAGAAATCGGAAGGGAGTTCCATAGAGGAATACAGAGTCCCAAAGTTCCACAGAGTTTGAAAAGAAATTATTATAATACAATATATGGTTCTATTTAGCAAGTTAAACAGTAAAACGGTGAGACCTTGATGCCAATCTAGTAGCACGCTTAAATTTATGCAGTCGAGGCACTAGGGAGGAAAGCTCATCAGAATAATTGCCATGAAAATATTTGTAGAAAAGACAGAGGGTAACCATGTTACGTCGGTGAGAAAGTGACTGAATGTCGAGATGCCAGGTCAGGATCGATTATATCACAGATCATTCTTTGAATTTTTTTTCAAGATTCTCAAGATATATAGTAGGAGCATCAGACCAGATAAGGCCACAAAAGTAAAAAAAAAATTTTAGGACAATAAAAGAACTAGTTTCAAGGAGACAAAAGATGTTGATTGATGTTGCATTTAAATTTTTAAAGATCGTAGTTAACAGAAAAGCAAGACGACAGACGTTCCTGAAACGAGAAGTGCGAGAAGAAACAGGTGTTCATTTCTGTAAGCCATTTTTCGTAGATTCGGAAATTTCCTAAGGCTTGTAGCGGCATTAGATCACAAGTTGTTCTTTTTTACGAGATTTACCTGTTTGTAGCGGCGTTATGCTACCAATTATGTAGCAGTTGTAACAGTTTTCTGAAGAGCAATATTTTCTTTTGTTAAAGGCAGGCATATATTTATGTGATAGGTTTAAGGTATATCGTCTCATCCTTACTTCTATGGCGTCCTTCTGAAAGTGTCTTCTCACGAAAATTGACATCATAGCTCGGGACTCAGGGTTGAACATTGGGGATCTGGAGACAGCAATACAGGATCGAACAGTGTGGAGAGGGATTGTCAATGGCGTTCCGACCAACCATAGGGCGGTCGAAAGATGATGATGATGATGATGATGAATGTAAATATTATTGTAGTTGCATGTGGTTTTTCAGACAGTATAGTGATAGTATTGTGTTGTATGTAACATGTGATTCGTTGGGAACTAAGAAGTTCAACGGAGAGGTAACGAGATATATTGTCCTTACAGCATTCTGTTGTTGAAGAGAGTAAAAAGAGAGAGATAGTCCATGCCCTTTCCTTTTATACTGTTTTATACAACGCCAGCTAATGGGCGTTAGGAGATGTTGGTGGCAGTCATTGGTCAAATCAGATAGGCGTTTACACAACATACTAAATTTTACTGATTGATAATGGTATACAACAAATAGAATAAAAGAAAGCGGTTTAAAAGAGCGACTGAATGACAAAATCAACAGCGATAAAATATTAAAAAAAATAGTGAGGCCTAATGAGATCGGCTGTGAGCTGTATAGAACCGTCGGACACCAGAGAATTTTAAATTTAGCGTTCCTATATGTTCGGTATATCTCCTCGGTGCATAATTATAACCGATGTTTACATTGATATATCACCTCTACCCATACTCATATATAATTCCATCAATCAGAACATTAGTTTAGTCTGATGAAGTCCGTTTCAAGGACGAAACACATTAAATATAATTATTTCCACTTCAATCACCAAACAGAAAGAAGCAGAAGGAGAGAAAAAAGAAAGAAAAGCGGGAGGAAATAAAAATAATGAATTAAAAAAGACGTCTAAGTAAAAAGGAAATGAAGAAGGAATTTAAATGAAGAAGAAGAAATTCTCATTGAGGAATGAAATGAAAAACACGACAGAAAGAAGAAAATGATAATGAAAAAGATTTCGGAAAAAAAAAAACTAGAAAGAAAAGTTATTCAAATGAAGAAGAAGAAGAAGGAGGATGAGGAGGCGAAGGAAGGAAAGAAAGAAGGAAAAGAATGGGAAGAAGGAAGGAAAGAAAGAAAAATGAAAAGAAGGAAAGAAGGAAGGAAAGAAGGAAAAAAGAATGAAGGAAGGAAGAACGAAAGAAGGAAGGAAAGAAAGGATAAAAGAAAGGAGAAGGAAATGAAAGAAAGAAAAGAAAGAAGGAAAGAAAGAAGGAAAGAATGAGAGAAGGAAGAAAGAAAAAAGGAAAGAATGAAAAAAAAAGGGGAAAGAAAGAAGGAAAGAATGAGAGAAGGAAGGAAAGAAGGAAGGAAAGAAAGGATAAAAGAAAGAAGGAAGGAAAGAACGAAAGAAAGAAGGAAAGAAAGAATGAGAGAAGGAAGGAAAGAAGGAATGAAAGAAAGGGTAAAAGAAAGAAGGAAGAAAAGAAGGAAGAAAAGAAGGAAGGAAAGAAAGGGTAAAAGAAAGAAGGAAAGAAAGAAGGAAAGAATGAGAGAAGGAAGAAAAGAAGGAATGAAAGAAAGGGTAAAAGAAAGAAGGAAAGAAAGAAGGAAAGAACAAGAGAAGGAAGGAAAGAAGGAAGGAAAGAAAGGGTAAAAGAAAGAAGGAAAGAAAGAAGGAAAGAATGAGAGAAGGAAGGAAAGAAGGAATGAAAGAAAGGGTAAAAGAAAGAAGGAAGGAAAAATGAGAGAAGGAAGGAAAAAAGGAAAGAAAGAAAGGATAAAAGAAAGAAGGAAAGAAGGAAGGAAAGAATGAGAGAAGGAAGGAAAGAAGGAAAGAAAGAAAGGATAAAAGAAAGAAGGAAAGAAGGAAGGAAAGAATGAGAGAAGGAAGGAAAGAAGGAAAGAAAGAAAGGAGAAAAGAAAGAAGGAAAGAAGGAAGGAAAGAACGACAGTAGGAAGGAATGAAGGAAGGAAAGAAAAAAAGGATAACAGAAAGAAGGAAAGAAAGAAGGAAAGAAAACGGGAAATAAAGGAATGAAGGAAAGAAGGAAAAATGAAAGAAGGAAGGAAGGAAAGAGCGCGGTAAATGAGAAAAGCCGGCCAAACCAACCGGACAGGCGTTAATTCGGTCAGGTAGTGTCAATAAGCAAAGCTAAAATGCAATCAGATAACGTTAATCATATGAAAACATTTGCAGGTGTGACAGGCCTCGGGCCAGTGGCCATATCGAGCTAATCTGATAAAACTAGTCAGGTGGTTGATGTATACTTATGGGCTATTCCCGCACGTGCGCGCGCAAATATATATAGTTTTAAGAGAAACTTCATATATCTAAAAGATAATTAAAAACTTTCATAATATAAAAAAAAAATCAATGAACCTAGCTAATTATAGTGATTTTCCAAGCGTAGCTTAGATGTGGCACAAGACCGAAAGTATGTGGCACCCAGTGAGGATCGAACTCACTACACAGTCGTAATTGTTCCAGCAAGACAAGCTTGTAAACCATTACACCACCTCGAGGTGACCAACGTGGTTAATTATACATGGGGTCATGTAGCCTATCTCTTAAAGTCTATTCTTTCTTTCTTCCTTCCTTTTTTTCTTTCTTACAACAATATCGCGTTAAAACATTGGTTCCCGTACGATCACTGAAGTTAAGCAACGTCAATCTCGGTTAGTACATGGGTGACAGCTTGATCCCATCTTTTAAAATATTCTCATCCTTTGTTTTATAAACAATTCAAATGCTTCGATTACCTCTTACTTACAGGAGAATGCTTTTATTGCGTATGAAAAGCTAAAAAAATGCTATAAGAGATATCAGGTCAATAACGCCTTCAAACACCACATCATGTTCAAATGTCTGTTTATGAGGATGAGGCAAAATTTCTTAATTCAAGTTATGCAGCTTTTGGACAATTGAGAAGCGTGCAGCCGTGCGTTGTCGTGCAGCAAAATTGGGCCATCTTTATTCAAAAACTTTGCCCTGCCAATCCTATCAGATACACAGCATCACCTTCTTCGGGTGCAGCTCTACATTAATATAAAAAATCTATTTTGTAATCGACTGGGAACATTCTTTTCAGAAGTGGGTCGATTTTGTTGCATTTGCACAGAGAATCGCACATAGAAATAGGCTCCAATGTTTTTTTTGTTAACTCTTGAACCCCTTAAACACCATAGCGATTCAGTTATCTACATGTTTTCAAATGCCTTACAACGCACATATGATATAAGAGAATCATCTCTGCGATGTCTCGTGCCGTGTGAATTGGATTATTTTTAATCGGTGTCTCATCAACAAATGCTATCACCCCTTAGCGTTCTCGGTCATCCTGATGAAAATAAGTGTATCAATTATGAACAGTATTCTCAGCTATGGCACCATCTCAATAAACGGCACATATCCTTTTAACTGTTTGTACAAGTTTTTTTTTAAATTCTTTCCAGAATTAAAAGTGTCTCAAATGATGAACATTGATCTCATTTTCCTCTATTTTTACTTTTCTCGTAAAGACATTTAAAAATCACATAACGCACACGAATCGTATAGAAAGACGCGTTCAAAACTAAACTTTTGGAATATGTATATATCATAAATTTCAATCCCTAGTGTAACGAAGATAACGCCTTCAAACACCACATCATGTTCAAATGTCTGTTTATCCATATATATATATATATATATATATATATATATATATATATATATATATATATATATATATATTAATAGATTAATTGTAGATTAATATTCTTTCGTTTTTTTATTATTATTTCATTTAGATTCCTCGACTAGTTTCGGCCAAAATGGCCAGCATATATATATGTGTGTGTGCGTGTGTGTGTGTGTGTGTGTGTGTGTGCGTGCGTGTGTGTGCGTCTGTGTGTGTGTAAATATATATATATATATATATATATATATAGTGTAACCCGGATATAAGAGAGTTGTTGGGACCGGAGAAGAAGTCTCTTATATCCGGGTTTGGTCTATTTTATATACATTAACACAGGCTCTAAATTGGGACCAGAGAGAATCTCTCTTATATCCGGGTCTCTTATATCCAGGTTACACTGTATATATATCAAGAGAGAGAGGGTGTGTGACAGAAAGCCAGAGATAGATAGATAGATAGATAGATGTAAACATGTAGAAATTTTCTGATGAAACTTAGACAGAAGTTAAACATTAAGTTTATAAACATTTTTTATTTTTCCTTCCATCATTCTGTTGTATGTTATTCATATTTGATTCCAATTCATATCTATCTATCTATCTATCTATCTATCTATCTATCTATCTATCTATCTATCTATCTATCTATCTATCTATACCCGTATGTAAACCATGCCCGCAGTACGCACAGGCACTTACACATACACACGCATATTGACACACATACACACACAGACAAACACACATACACATATATGTGTGTGTGTGTGCCGTTTTTGTGTCTCATTCTTTTCATATCTAACAAATTTATCATGAGCAATAAACATTTTTCTCTTCTTTCCTTTATTTTCCTATTCTTTCACTCCCCGTCTCTTTTACCAATGAATTGTCTATCTCGCGAGTTAGCTGTCACGGTCCTAATGTATATTGCCATGAATGTATGTATGGATATATAAAACTATAAGTAAGAGCCTTTGAACCCGCTGTAAATAAAAGGCGTCAACGAATTTCTCAGAGTTAACGAAAGTAGGATATTACCGGAAACTTCAGTAAAAATCGCCTCGACCTTTCGCCTCAATCTTCCCACAATAAAATCTTTTCAAACCAACTTCCGTCTCCTTCGTCCGCCGAACGCTTCCCTCCTCCTCTTCTCACCATAGTGGACCTGAATGGTTAAGTATCAGTGATAAGTGTGGAGGGGTAACGGTGTTGGATCGGGTGGGATTCAGGTGTTCAGATTGGGTATCCGGGTGATTCGACGGGTAGGTGTAAGTGATGAAGGTATATGTCCGAGACGTCAGTTGGCGCGCTTACAAAGCGACAACTTCCGTTCGACTAGGGCATTTCCGCTTTCGGCCAAATAATGTCCCACCTGTGTAAACCTCTTTTGCTGTCGCGTAAATATTTCCCACAGCTGAATTTAGTTTGACACCCGGCAAAGTTACGTGTGCGCTCATGAAGGATGAACAAGGTCCACGAAGTGGACTTCGTTCTACCCAAGGGCGAGGTGTTCCGCTGAGATTAAATGTGCCAAACGTGGCTCTATTAAAAGTTACTAAGCTAGCTGAATTTGACTCCTTGCTCTTGAGTAGGCATCTAGACTGCGGGCTTCGACTAATGCTAGGCTCCATGTTGTCGTAGGAATGGGTAAGTCAAAGATAAAAAGCAAACGTCTCGTCCTGGAGCAAGAATTAACAAAGTCGTTTAGCAAATAATTTCTATTGTAGCCAGTTCAATCTCTACCAGCGCCATTGGTATTGTGACCTTGTCAGACTGTACTCTAAGAAGATGAGACTAAAAGAAGTGTTTTGTTAACAGAAAGTGCGTAATATTATGTTTGATAAACACTAGTCTGTATGTTTCTTTGGCCACATGACAAATCTATGCCGGGGGTTTTGCCCTTATCCACTTCGTTCTACAGATATCCATCATTTAAATTACCAATTATACTTCGGGGCGTTCGGATAACCAATTATTCGGTTATGACAGTATAAATTATATTACACTAGGAAGAGGGTACCTCGGCGTGGTGTAATGGTTAGCAAGCTTCTCTCGCTAGAACAGTTACGGCTGGGTACTGAGTTCGATCCTCATTGGGTGCCTCATACTTTCGGCCTTGTGCCACATCTAAGCTACGCTTGGAAGATCCGAGAAATTTGAATTTTCAATGAATATTTATTCTTAAGTTAATGATTGAGTAAGCTCATGGCAAGTCCTATGACAATAAAATACCCGTAGAAATTCCTTTATGATATCGTTAAATATTTGACCTTAAGAACTTTAACAAAATATAAGTAGGAATGCTGGTCGTTATTTTAAGAAGCGGGTACAAATGAAAGGATTTGTAATTGACATCATTTTCCACTTCACTGAAACAGCTATTAAACACATCTATCTTTCTTTCTTTCTTTCTTTTTCATTATCTCACTGAAACAAATTTCTGATATCTGTTTTCTTCTTTTTAGCGATCAAAACAGAATAGTCAATTATTTATGAGATATTGAGAGGAGACGATAAACAATCCTACCTTCCCGTCTTTCTTTCACGCTTTCTTTCTTTAATTTTCTCACTGAAACCAAGTAGGGTCTTTCCCCCCTCTTTTCATGCGATCAAAACGGAATTATTTATGCGGTATTGGCAAGGCGTAACGATTGTGCGAACTAATATGATTGTTTGATAAAAGTCAATGTCAAAATGGCTGTCTTTTATTTTAATAAACCAAACGAACTTCATGTTCAGGACTAGGCAATCATAGCTCTCCACAACTTCATATCTTTTGTTGCTCTAAGTAAATTCCTACGCTTTGCCATCCGACTGATATCCATTTGGAAAAACATGTTAAGTGGGCTACTCACTGTTTTCCCCGTTTCTCTTGCCTTCAATATGTCCTGAAAGTGTTACATTATCCCACCATCTGTACGGATAAATCATCAGTTACCTCCCCTTAAGATCTAGGATGTATAAAAAGCAGACGAGTAGTCAGAGTAAAGTGCAATTAAGCTTTGTTATAAGTTTATTCACTGGTTCTAGTTTTACTACACCGTCTTTCCTCATCATGTGTCCAAAACATCCCACTTAACTCTCTTCTGGTTTCTAAATACACGTGCCTTTTTTTGTTTCCATTTTCTTTAAAACATCATCGTTGCTCACATGTTCTGTCCATTCGTTGGTAAAGCCATATCTCTGTCGAATCTCTTCTTCAACCGTGGGGAGATTGTACAGATTTCACTGCTATATACGAAATTAGTATTACATAGCAGTTCAACAAATTGTTCTTTGCTTTCTCATTAAATTTTCCTATCTCTTCTTATTGTGCTTAGTTTCTGGAAGACGTTTTATGCTATTCCTGTACATCTTCATATGTCTGTGTCACATTTTCCGCCGTCTTTTACTAAACTACCCAAATATCGCAAATACATAGAAGACATCTTGGGCAGTCTCTTTTTTCTGACAACAACACATTCTCACTCTTTTCTTCTTGTTTTTCTTTACTGATTTTTTTTTTAAAAAAAGAGTTATTTCGGTTTTCTTACTGAGTTTTTCGTCAATACAGTGTCAGCTGCGTTTATTACGTTGCTCAATAGATGCTGATAACAGGAAAGGGTCAAATAATTGTAAAGGGAGAAAAAGAATGACTGGCATTTTAAGTGATTATGAATGTGAAAGAAAGAAAAAATAAATATGCTGGATTAAATGCATTATTTGGATTTCTCTGGGGTATCAGATTTTGGCCACTTTGTCTCCAGAAGACAAATTATAGTTTAGGTCAATAATCACCAAATGAGACTTTAAAATATTATTTAGAGAAAAAAAAACAAATAAAAATGATCTGCCAATTAAGATTTTTTTTATGAAAACTGACCCCAAGGTTGCAGCGTATTTTACGTGTGAGATTCATAACGTAAAATAAATAAAAAAAATAACTATTTGCTCGCCATTAATTTAAGCTGTTTTTAATTAAACATTTTCAAATCGAATCACAACCAGTTTATCGTTGAGGCTTAAAACAGGACATTATCATTGGTAGAGTTGCAGACAAAGTGTCGCAAGACTTAAGGTTCAAGAAGAAATCTTCAGTGCCCACCGAATTTTGTACATCCACTAAAATTAAGAGTAAACTAAATTCCACAAAAAAGTATAAAGCAGTTGTTAAAAATCAATGCATGGAAGCCATTGCTAGTGGCTTCTTTCCTCACTGCCTGATTCATTACTAAGCTAATTAAATATCTAGGCTCCTTCCAGAGGAGAAATTAACGAGTTAACATTCTTTAAGTTCCAATTGTGTGCTTAATTCTTGGGGATTTGTGCTAGACATATATTGTTTTTCTCGCCGTTCGAAAAAGTTGTTGGATTAACATTTCTACCGGAAGAACGCTGCTTAAGAAAATACTGGAAGTTTTATGCTTCCGGCGAGCTGCTTGCTGTCTAAAATCATAGAAAGACAGAAGAAAATTATTTAACTAATAATACCATGATTTTATTTGAATGCAACTTTTTATATGAATATATGATTTTTTATTTGATTTATTCGATTTTTTATATGAATATATGAGTTTTATATGAATACAGGATGCTGTAAAATTTTGTATCAATATAAGCTAAAAATTTAGACATTCAAGTTACAGGAAACAATAGAGGGCGTGCGTTTAGTAAAATTGAACATACTGTCAGTAGCTTGCGAGAAAAGTTCGTCATTCTGTACTCTGCCGTTATCCTAAAAATAGAATTGTGCATTTGTCTGATAAAGAAATAAATTCGTGGAGTATTCAATAAGGAATTCATAAACTGCTAAACTAAAGTATCTGCTTCAAGTAAGAATTATTTACATAACATCTCCGAGTCAAATACAATCCAACAATAGGCTTACAAATGACAGCTTCGGCTAACAGATATCTTATGCCAAATTAGCTTTCTAAATATTGCTACGAAGGACACGTAACATATTGTGTGAAAAGAAATTTCGTGGCGTTTTTTGAGGCAGCTTCATGATTTCATCCTCGTATAACTTTGTGTGATGAACAATTCCAGGGAATTTTATACACTTCCGGAGAATTGAATTTTCATTAAGAAGATTTTGTAGGGTTCTAAACAAGTGGAAATCTGTGCGTGCAAGTTCAGGTAGGAATGGTGAGTGTAGTAGGAGATTCAAGCCAAGTTATCTAAGCGCTTTCAAAAGACTTACAATATTCATATGAGATATGTGGAGTATCTCTGGGAAGTCCCATGTCCTGTAATCTGGATTATTTATAAGAATGTTTCGTTTTAGGATCATTAACAACTACAATTCTGCTAGAACATCCTCGGTTTTCCCGATAAAATAATCCATTTTTGACACTACAAACTACTTACTTAATAATCTCTGCTATGGCACCATCTCCATAAATGGCACATATTTTTGCTTTTTGTACAGCGTTTTATCCTTTCTGAAAATCAAAGAGCATCAAATGAAAGTGCATAACATTTTCACTTTTAAC